GACGGTTGACGACGATGCTATGATTATGTCAACATTAGCGGATGGCTCGACAGCGTGGGTCTCGGCAGCCTCTACTCGCAATGCGCGCGCGGTCCATCAATGATGAGAAACTTACCATTCGAAGAATTTTGTCAGGCCTGCCCACGCATGCTGACAGCAATGGAAGAAGCGGATTGGCCGGAGGACAGAACGAGAATGATGGCTCGATTCTGGAGGAATATTCAGGTGCACAAGTATCGCTCCATGCGGAACCCAGTAGCGCAGAAAGCTTTACTAGCTTACCAGGCGGAACAGCACAAGCGTTGGCATGTAGCAGTGAAGACTTCCGTGGGGACCTTACGACTTATCCTTGGTCACGAGAGAGTTCTTGAGGAGACCAGAGAAAGGGTGTACTGGGAGACTCGCGACAAGAGAGACAACGCGAGAGACTATAAGGTCAGTTTCGTTTGACCATCGAAACGCGAGCCTGCGCTCATCCTTTTTTCCTTCGAAATCTTACGTTTCGATTCATTCTTCACACCTTGCCACATGCCTCACGCTACATGCCCCATGCCACATGCCCCATGCCTCATGCCACACTGCTCAACGCAGTCTGATCACGAGACCACTCGTCACACAGACATCGCGACTCGAGAGATACGCGCAAGCGTTCAGCCTCACCTGAACACGCCAGCAGGGGAAAGAAGCCGAGGCAGGATTTTCGCGCAGGCACAAGCAGAGGAGTTCCTCTCAGCTTGTGCCGTTTGCCTCGGACGAAACCCTCACAGGATTATCGAGTGCAAGGCCACTCGCACATGGACGACGCCTGCGACACCATTTGCTCGCGCATCGGCAGAGTCCTCACCATGCGGGACGGAAAGCCAGTATGCAGCGACTGGCAACGACTCAGCGGATGCAGCGAGACCACTCACGACCGAAGACACTTTTGCTCCGGATGTGGCTTATCCACCCACGGAGCTCAAGCTTGTCCTCGAGCGCAGAAGGCTTAAGGCCCTCACGCCGTATGATCCAGATGCTTGGGAAAGGGAACTCTTGTCGGCGGGGACTCTATGAAAGATACTCACATATACCAGAAGGACTTCGTCGAGGGTTCCGTCTTGATATTCCTAAAATTAAGCGCACTCAAACGCCGCCTAACAAAGATTCTATTGTTACATACCAACAAGAGTTTCGTGCCATCATACAAGCTGAACTTAAGAAAGGGAGATATATTGGTCCGCTTAGTGCCAAGAAGTTGAAGAGCTCGTCGGGCCCTTTCAATCCTCCCCTTTTTCAATTATACCCAAACCGGGTCGACCTGTCCGTTTTCGAGTCATTCAAAATTATTCATTCCCTCATCTCGCTTCACCAAAATTCCCCAATGCATCAATCAATTCGTACATCAATTCCAGACAACTTTCCCAGTACTTGGGGCACCTTTCACGTACTCGCGCTTACAATTAGTCGATTACCGCCAGGGGTCACAATTTGCCATCAGAGACGTCTCAGAAGCATATCGTACGATCCCGATCATGAATCTCAGTGGCCGGGATCAATTGTACGAGTTGCGGAAGATCTTTTTTCTGCATTGATACATGCATGTGTTTTGGTTTACGACCATCAGCGGGTGCTTATGGAAACCTTGCTGATGCGGGTTTGGACTTGTTTCGTTCAAAGGGAATTGGACCAGCGTCGAGATGGGTCGACGACCATTTATTTATTCGGATCCTTAGAGAACACATTGCCTCATATAACGAAAGGAGACGACAATGGCATCAGGACATCGTCAAAAGGGGTAAGCATTGAGGATAGAGGAAGAATATGGTTTGGCGGACACGTGTTCGATGATGGAACATTGGAGGAGTTTGATGAAGATTTGCCGTTTTCCCATCAGAGACCTTTCAGGAGCTTCGTCAAGATCGGTCGAGGATGCTTTATTCTCATGCAACATGGCAGACATTGACGAGATCTCAGACGATCTCGACATTCCATGGGAAAGGCTCAAGGACAAGATTTTTGCGTCTATCAACCCATACATCGGACTCATGTGGGATCTCGCCGAGAACAAAGTCTTTCTGGCAGAGGACAAGAAAAACCAAGTATCTACGAGCCATTGGCATCTGGCGAGAGTGCGTCACCCATGTACTCATTGACATCCAACAGCTGTATGGTAAATTACTTCATGCCACACTCATCGTTCCAAAAGGACACGCTTACCTTACGTCTTTGGAGGCCATGCTGCGCCTCGCTGCAGTCAAACCTTTTCTCCCACGACGACCAGTTAAGAGGCTTGCAGCAGATCTTGACTGGTGGGAAACCTTGCTCCAGAAGCCTTTCGTGGGACGTACCATACCCAGTCCTCTCTCACTACACGACCCAGCTGCGTTTTCAGATGCCAGCTCCAGCACGGGAATTGCTGTCATCATTGGAACCAGATGGAGAGCTTGGAAGTTGCGCAAAGGATGGCAGACTCTCGATGGTGAAAAAGACATCGGATGGGCGGAGGCAGTCGGATTTGAGCTCCTCGTTCAATACCTTATCCAAATGGGAGGATCGGAAAGAAACTTCAGGGTTTACGGAGACAATCAAGGAGTCATTGAAGGCTGGAGGAATGGTCGAAGCAGGAACACGGCAGTCATTCAGTGTTCAGACGAATCTTTTCTCTTATCGACAATTCCTCAGAATCTTACTCGTTTCACCCCACATACGTCGTGAGCAAATGCAATCCGGCAGATGAGCCATCCAGAGGAATCTATAGTAGTACAGAATTCATGCTCCCGACTTTCCCCATCGCAGCGGCACTCCAACCATTCCTCATCGATCCATTCGTCGTCTCCACAGACCCGGCAGATTGTGATGCAGAAGGAGACTGGGCAGCCATCGTCGAAAGAACTTCTGTCAGCCATACAGATAGCCATTCCAGCACAGAAACCCTCACCACTACGGACGCATTCTACCCCATTAGCGAACTCCAACAGCGTGATTTCGAATATTAACAAATCACGCTTCAAGGCCATTCTCCCGTCAGAACTACCAGCTGTCCCTCAACCATACAAACGGGGTCTAGTACCCGCATCGTCCCAGCTACGCCCACATTGTCTGGCGCGGGATCGTTTAAAGCTCTGGTTTCCTCTACAGTCGAGATTAGCAAGCACGCCGGAGGGAGAGGCACTAGCGATCACCGAAGAGGATCTGCAGAGAGTGTTGACAGTGATGAACATGTCGTGGGCATTGAGCACGAGGGAATGCTATGGAGCGGGGCTGTTAGTCTTTCACGTCTTCTGTGATGAAAGAAACATACCGGAGGACCAACGCTGTCCAGTGGACACACGCACGATTCTGAATTTTGTATCGAGCTGCGCAGGCTCGTATTCGGGGAAGACACTGGCGAATTACGTGTATGCGATCAAGGCATGGCACACGCTACATGGTCAAACCTTGGGAGATCTGTCAAGACGAGTTGAAGGCGTCCTTAGACGGGGCATCAGAATGCACACCTGAAACATCTAAACGAAAGAAACGCGAACCCTTCTCAACAGATCTTATCCTTCGGATTCGAGCTCACCTTGATCTATCTAAACCCCTCGACGCAGCTGTTTACGCGTGCCTGACGACTGCGTTTCTACGCGCTATGTCGTCTAGGAGAACTCACAGTCAAAGCGCTGAAAAGTTTCGAACCTGACAAGCACGTTAAACGGTCCAACACTCAGATGGATGTCAAAGACCGACACGATTTCGTAGTCACCAAGATATTTCTTCCTCGAACCAAGACTTCGAATGTCGGACAGAGTGTATTCTGGGCGCAACAAGATAACCCTACAGACCCGAGAGCCGCACTTCTCAATCACTTCGCAGTTAATAACCCAGAACCAAATTCGCACCTTTTCGCGTGGAGACATATGAAAGGAATGAGACCTTTAACTCGGACGGAATTCTGGAAAAGAGTCAGCGGGATAGTGAAACAAGCTGGACTGGGTAATTTGAAAGGACACGGACTGCGGATTGGAGGAACATTGGAGTACCTGTTGCGCGGTATCCCTTTCGATGTCGTCAAATCCATGGGGAGATGGTCGAGCGAGGCATTCACAGTCTATTTGCGCAAACACGCATTAATTTTGGCCCCATACCTGCAAGGATCTCCCGCGCTAGAACCGTTCACGCGCTATACCATGCCTCCAATGAATTGACAAGGTTCGTCATTGCGTCACCCTCCTCCTTTGAAGTGGGAGTCCACGCTGCGCCTGACGCGTCGCTGGGCTCCTTCATTTTTGGAATCACGGCTCATCCTGAACTCTCCTTAGGTTAGAAACGATGTTTTCGAGTCGCAAACCCTTCGGGTTTGAGCCCAAACCGCCACAGGACTCTGTTGCTTGCCATTTGTATCAGATAGATTGAGTAGACAATAGATCTGATATCTTGACGCTTACCTTGGAAACTGAGAGCAACGCATAGAGTTCCATACAAATCACTAATGGTGTTAACGAGACTCAATCAGATTGAAAATAAAACTAGTACTGAGTTTGAAACGTACTAATGGAGTCACAAACTCACAGCCACCCAACGTACTGCCAACTGATGCGGAAACAATGGTAAGATGTAGGTGAGAGTGCGGTGGTTGAACGAAACTTACTTACAAATAGCCATCATCCCAACCAATGCAATCAGATGAGCAAATTTTCCTTTTTGGTCAGACCGCGTGAAAAATTTGGCCAGCGGCGAGCACCCAGCGCCCTCACTTAATTACTCCCGCAAACAGCCTCATGCATGCTGCATCTGTGATTAATCATCGAAGGCCATGCATGATCTCATCTGCGATAGTTGCGTACCACGACCTCTCACTTCGTGAGCACCGAGTCTTTGCGGATGCCCTCAGAACAACCTGCTCACCATCAAGACCATCACCAAACAAGGTGCCCTCGCAAATCTTGTGGCCTCCCGCAGCCGTGTCATCATCGAGGAAGCACCTGCACCTCATTCTGACCACACCCATGGGGTGGCGCTGGTATGCGAATGGTCGATGTGATTGGCTGGGTCTTCCTCGCCTCAAAGTCAACCACAGCTCTCCTGAGCCACCTTCTGCACAATGTCCAGCTCCTGGGCCATTGTCTTGGTGGACGAAATCCTGCATCATCTCTTGCATGGTGCCGGCCTGCTCGTGGGCCGCTATCTGGTGCACACACTCCTGTAGTGGCTCACGCAATGCGTCACCGGCAGAAACTCAAGATGTTCGTTGAGGGTCCCCACTCCCCCACCCTCCTGGAGGTCGAGTTTCAATCCAGGACGAGACCTGTCACTGGTAGGTAGCATCCAGGAGCTCATTCCGCAGATAACCTGCATTGGGCAAGGTTCGCAGAGTTCTGATGGGACTGCTTGTGGGGAAGATGAAGCCGAGGCAGAGGTGGATGAGCTTCTGGCGTCCCTTTGAAGTAAAGTGGGGCTGAGAGATGTCACACTTGGGGTTATGTAGTGCTAGAATCTTCTTTTTGCCATTGCTCACTGGTTTGGATTTGATACGTACATTGTGAGCGGTGTCGTTTAAGACATGGAGGTATAAAAGAAGATTGAACGTTTGAACCGTGCTAAGATCCTTCATAAACATGAGACAATTGTGAGCCAATGAGATTGAAGATACCAATAGTGCTGAACTTGAAAGACATATGTACAGGCATTGACCACTTATCACGCTGTCTGGACTAGCCTCGTCGACGCTAGCAACACGCCCCATCATGCTCATACAAAGATTTTGACAAGAACTTCATTGTGGATGGCCATATCACATTTCAACAGGTAACTAGGTGGTACAGCAGCGAGATGTTCATATCAACTTTGGTTGACTTTGACTATTTGTCCAATCACTAACCTCACCATGGGCCGCCGAGCTAAGTACCTCACATTGGAAGAAAAAACTAGCAGCTGCTCGTCAACATACGGAATCATATTTACAGTCAAAACGGTAGGTATCATTCAGTGACTTGTTATTGCAACGTTATTGATATGTTTGGCAGAGGCAAGATCATTCGACAGGCTCAGAATGCTCGTGCCTACGCCAAACGTCATGGTCGACGCGGACCTCA